TACTGCTACTGCTACTGCTACTGCTGGTATTCAACTCATTGGATTCGGAATACCTTGAGGTGCGTTGCGCTGGCATTGTCACCCTCGTTGTCACCGGGGGTTGATGGGGGTGGGGGGTCGGTATGACAAGGAGGGGACAGAGGTAAACAATCCTGTGAGTGATGACTCGCCCAACCCGCTTTTACTTAATTATGTTTGTGTGTCTCGGGCGCGTGCCGCTGCCCTTGCCTCAGCACGCCTCGCCAGTAGAGCGGTTTCTGCCCGAGGTAGCCGCGAGCAGCCGAACAATCCGTCGGGAAAAAACAGTCATCGCATAAAGATGTTCGTTTCTTTTCAAGCCCGCCTCTTCTCTTAAGAGTATACACTCGCGCCAATCGCCCGTCGGTTCGACCATCCACAACACTCTCATCGAATAATTGATTACTCATGCCTCAAATTGCGGCGGACTATGGTTACGATCTGATCGACGGCCACACCGGATCATGCAGTGATCATACTTGCAGGCCAAGGCGCAATCAGGCAGGACCCCTTCCCCTCCTCTCTCGCCCTTTCCCCCTATCGGCTCCTCCCCCCCTCCCCTGCTCCAGCTCGGGCTTGGCCACTCGTGTGGAAACCCAGTTTGCTGCAGTTTCGTATACAGTAATCGCGCACTAAGCTGTAATCGGCTTTGCGGATACAATAAACTGATTTTTTTTCTCCCCTACCTCGTCATTCTGTCGGAGCGCGGGGCGGATGGGTCGCGGTGGGCTGGGCCCCCGGCTCCCTCCCCGCGCTGTGTTCGATATCAAAGTCCTAGCTGATAGGCCAGAGGGCGGTAGAGACTAGACTCTAGCCGGCTCTGCCCCTGGCCTGCAGGCGCCCGGGGGGTTGCTTTCAAAACTCTGGGATGTACATAACCGTGTCTCGCGCAGTCGATGGCGCGGCACCCGCGCCCGCGGGTCGCCGAGGCCGAACATTCTTGAATTCTGCAGTAGCTGTAGTAGGTGTAATGCGGTAAAACCAATGGCTGATTTTTTAAGGGCAGGGGAAATGTTGAGGAACAACCATAATTTGAGGGTAAGCCCACAGATTTTAATGATGTCCCCTAAAAAAAATTGTGGGAATTTTCGTCATTGTTTTTACCGTGAATGCATTATTATTCCAGCGAATTAAAAGTACTATACAAGAAAACCGCAGAGATATGTTTCATTACAGGAAAAGAAATATCTTCCCGGGCGTTGCAACAGCAGGCTGCGTTCTCCCCTGCTTCAGATCACGCAAGTTAGTTGAACGCCGCGACGACGTCATCCTAATTTTTTCTTTCCCACCCACTCGACGTCGTAGAGTTTGCAGCAGGAGCAGCTCC